AAATCAATCTTAAAGAATTGATTATATTAGCCGAAACCAGTTTGGCTCAGTGGATAGAGCATCGGCCTGTGGACTGAAAGGTCCCGGGTTCGATTCCAGTCAAAGGCGTGTACCTTGGTTGCAGGCACATTCCCAGTAGGGGGTGTGCCTCTCTCATCGATGTTTCTAACTCTCTGTCTCTCTTTCTCTCTGTAAAAAAATCAATAAAAATATATATATTTTAAAAAGAATTGATTATATTAACAAATTGATGAAAAAAAGGAACATAATGTGTTTTTTTTAAGTTAATTATTCAGCCCCATAAAAAAACTTATTGCTATTATTTCAGCCTGCATATCACTAATAAATTAGAACAGAATAAAATATAGTATCCAACTATTTGAAATCTATCATAATTGTATTAATATAGTTTATAGTGATTTAAATTTTAATTCTGCAGAGAACAATAGTTTACATGAATTCTGATCTGGATCTAAAATTCGAATTCTTTGAAAGCTACTTAAGTGCAGCCACTGAAAAACTAAATATACTACAATCATATTTTTAAAATATTATTTGCATATAAAATATGGTATCTAGATAGAAAAAAATAGAAGGAAATACAGAAATGTGACAATTATTGCCTATTAGGTGGCAATATTAGGGTGGCCAGATTATGGGTGACCTACTTTTTAAACATTTCCTCATTGGTAGAATCATCTCTGAAAAAAGTAACTTGGCTATATTTAATAACGATGTATTCCACACCCTAGTATTTGCATCAAAGTGACTGCATATAAGCAGTTTTCAAATAATTTGAATGTTAGATCCAGATCAGAGTTCATGTAAACTAAGATTCTCTGCAGAATTAAATTTTCAGATTACCCCAGAACCGTGTTGGCAAACTGCGGCTCGTGAACCACATGAGGCTCTTCGGCTTCTTGAGTGTGGCTCTTCCACAAAATACCACGGCTTGGGCAAGTCTATTTTGAAGAAGTGGCGTTAAAAGAAGTTTAAGTTTAAAAAGTTTGGCTCTCAAAAGAAATTTCAATCGTTGTACTGTTGATATTTGGCTGCTGACTAATCAATTTGCCGACCATTGCCCCAGAGAAATTCTTATCTCATACAGAAAAGTAAGAAACAATGTTGATTAAAAAGAGCAAGGAGAGAATGCTAGTGTAAAACCACTCAGATCAGCCGGGACCGGTTTGGCTCAATGGATAGACGTAGGGGTGTCGAACTCAATCAGAGAAGGGGCCAAAATCTAAAATCCAGCCTAAATCGCAGGCTGAATGGTTTACTGAACAGTCATAAACTGTCATTGTGATGGAAACGCAGCGGAGTGCAGTGATGACAGCGTAGTGCGGGCCACATTGGAAGGCCTGGCGGGACGGATTTGGCCCTCGGGCCTTGTGTTTGACACATGTGGATAGAGCATCGGCTTGGGGACTGAAGGGTCCCGGGTTCGATTCCGGTCAAGGGCATGTACCTTGGTTGCGGGCATATCCCCAGTAGGGGGTGTGCAAGAGGCAACTGATCGATGACTCTCTCTCATCGATGTTTCTGGTTCTCTATCTCTCTCCCTTCCTCTCTGTACAAAATCAATAAAATATATTAAAAATAAAAAAAATAAAAAAATAAATAAAAAATAAAACCATTCAGGTCAAGGTTTAAAACATTAAATAATACTATATAAATATATACATAAGCAGTAAAAGCATAAGAACATATGCATAATAAATATAACTTCAGAAAATGAAAAGAAACGTTATATGAGGCTCCAATTGTATTTGTTTTACTTCTTTTTAAAAATCTGAAACAAATGTGGCAAACTTAAAAACTAACAAAGGAGCTGGATTTAAAAATGTACATATTTTTTATACACTTTCCATATGTTTGAGAAGTCAATTAAAAAAAAAAATATATATATATATATGTATATATATATATATATAAATTTTTTTTATTGATTTCAGAAAGGAAGAGAGAGAGAGAGATAGAAACATCAGTGATGAGAGAGACTCATTGATTGGCTTCCTCCTGCACGATTGAGCCTGCAACCCAGGCATGTGCCCTGACTATTAAATCATGACCTCCTGGTGCATAGGTCGACGCTCAACCACTAAGCTATGGCCAGGCAGAAGTCAAATATTCTTACTCCAAAGCCAAAACAACAAAAGCAAAAAAAAAAAATAAGTGGGACAAGTATCTGCACAGCAAAGAAAAAAAACATGACAAAATAAAAACACATTTCTCCTACTGAATGGGAGAAAATGTTTGCAAATTCTATTTTTGATAAGGAGTTAATATCCAAAATATATAAAGACCTCATACAACTCAATAGCAAAAATAATCAGATTAAAAATGGCATATGATCTGAACAGATATCTTTGCAAGGAAGACGTATAGATGGCCAGCAGGTACATGAAAGGGTCTTAATATCACTAATCACCGGGGAAATGTAAATCAAACCACAATGAGAATAGCACCCCATACGCGTTAGAATGCTTATGATCAAAAAAAGGCAAGAAATGCCGATACCGGTTTGGCTCAGTGGATAGAGCATTGGCCTGCGTACTGAAAGTTCCCAGGTACGATTCTGGTCAAGGGCATGTACCTTGGTTGTGGGCACATCCCCAGTAGGGGGTGTGCAGCAGGCAGCTGATCAATGTTTCCCTCTCATCAATGTTTCTAACTCTCTATCCCAATAAAATATATTATTAAAAAAAAAAAAAAAGGCAAGAATAAGTGTTGGCATGGATGTAGAGAAAAGGGAAACTTTTTGCACTGCTGGTGGGATTATAAATTGGTGCAGTCACTATGAAAATCCTCCAAAAATTAAAAACAGAACTACCACATGACCCAGCAATGACATATCTGGGAATATATCCAAAGGATACAAAACATTAATTCAAAAAGGTATTTATACTCCCATGTTCAATGAAGTATTCTATATAATAAAAGCCCATCAAACAAACCATGGAACAAACAGTACGACCACTCAACCAGTTACTATGACACTCACTGACCACCAGGGGGCAGGTGTTCAATGCAGGAGCTGCCCCCTGGTGGTCAGTGAGCTCCTACAGTGGGAGTGCCACTTGGTAGATGAGGATGAGTGGCTACTCCCACAGCAGGCCATGCCCCCCACCAGTGCATGAATCCCGTGTATCAGGTCTCTAGTTATTTATAATAGCCAAGACATGGAACAACCAAAATGTCCATAAATGGATCAACAGATAAAGAAAATGTGGTATATGTATACAATGGAATTATTATTCATCCATAAAAATAGAAGAAAATGTTGCCATTTGAAACTATATGGATGGACCCTGAGGGCATTATGCTAAGTGAAATAAGCCAAACAGAGAAAGACAAATATTGTATTATCTCTTTTATATGTGGAATCTAAACAAAACACAAACAGGCCAATTCAAAGCTACTGAGAACAGACTGGCGGTTTCGAGAATGAGAGGGAGGGGCAGCAGGAATAAATTAAGGCAGTCAAAAGGTACAAAATTCCAGCTATCCTATATAATAAAAGAAAAACATTTAAATTGACTGCACCTCTGCAACGCTCACCAGCCAATCAGTAGTGAGTATGCAAATTAACCCACCAGCTTTGCTGGGTTAATTTGCATACTGGGCAGAGAGCAGAGCAAGAGAGCCAGTGGAAAGTGGAGCAGCTTGGGGAACTTGGCTCCCCAAGCCACCAGATGGAGAGCAAAGAGGGAGAGCTGGCAGCTTGGAGGACTTGGCAGAGTGTGAGGCTGTGGGACAGAGACAGAGCAGGAAGGGAAACCAAGAGCGCAGGGAGCACCAGGAATTCTGGGAGTAGTAGTTCTGGTGGCAGCCCCAGGACCAGAAGTGGAAACCCCAAGCACGGGGAGCACCAGAAATGCTGGGAATTGTAGTTCTGGTGGCAGATGGGTCTCCTCGACACTAGAGCAAAGTAAGCCTGAAGCAAGTTACTGTTGTGATAGGGGATGGAGAGAAAGCAAATATGAGAGACATAAATAAAATCAGTGTCTAGGAAAAATTAAAAGGAAGGTATCCTAAAACTTCCAGGAAATCTCTACCAATGAAGCAAAGGAAAAAAAAAAAAAATGCCTCTATTATTCTGTGAGCAACAAACCAAACTGGGTTGGAGTCTCAGACAATTGGCTCATATGATTATAAAGACAGACAGAAACTCCCAGATGGGAGAGGGCTCCCCTGAGGGCTCCCAGATTGGAGAGGGTGCAGGTCAGGATGAAGGACCTACCCCCCACCCCGTGCATGAAGAAAAATATAAATTATGGCCGGGACCAGTTTGGCTCAGTGGATAGAGCATCGGCCTGCGGACAGAAAGGTCCCGGGTTTGATTCCGGGCAAGGGCATGTACCTTGGTTGCGGGCCCATCCCCAGTAGGGGGTGTGCAAGAGACAGCTGATCGATGATTCTTTCTCATCGATGTTTCTAACTCTCTATCCCTCTTTATGAAAAATCAATAAAATATGTTTTTAAAATATATATATATATATATATATATATATATAAATTATGAAGATGTAATGTACAGCATGGTGACCATAGTTAATACTGTACTATATATTTCAAAGTTGCTGAAAGAATAAGTCTTAAAATGTTTCATCACAAAAAAATAAAATTTGTAATTAGGTATGGTAATGAATGTAAAGTAGACTTATCATTTTGCAATATATACAAATATTGAATCATTATGTTATATACCTCAAACTAATGTTATATATTCCAAGTATATTTCTAAAAAAGATCAAATTTTTAAAAATTTTATTTTTGTTTCCAGAGCCTGAGAAATAAACTATTATGCCTTAAGCTATCTTTGTTATAGGTAATATTTGCCTAGATATTTATCTTTGAGTTAAAAATATTAAGATGATTAAGATAGAATATATTCAATAACAAAACCCCACACATCATTACTATGAAATGTCCATAGTTCCTGAAAATAAAAGTTCATTAAGAAAATACTCAGAAACTCTGTCAATTTTAGACCATACCTGGCCTTGCATTTCCGGTCTTACAGGATATGTATTTGTTGGGTAAGGTGCCCTAGGTCGGGCAGAGTTCCAGTAGTTGGAATTGTAGCTAGAATATGGTGGCTGCTCCTAAAACAAAAAAAACAAAAGAAAGAGGAAAATAAATGCACTTTTACTAACATTGTTACATTATTCTGAAAGTTGATTGAGACAGATATAAGTTTCAAAAAAGAAGAAAAAGCACTAAACCCCTCTATAAAATCAATTATCAGGTATATGATAAATATCACATGACCTTGAACAGGGGTGGGGAACCTTTTTTCTGCCAAGACCCATTGGGATATTTATAACATCATTCATGGGCCACACAACATTATCAACTTAAATATTAGCCTGCTATATTAGGTAAAACATTTAATTAACTCACCCCTTAATGCCTTGGCAGTGCCCGACCAAACAACATGGCCCATGGGCTGCATGTTTCCACCCCTGTCCTAGAACAAAACAATATTGACTGTGAAGTAAAAACTTGTTCTTATGCACTATGTCAATACTACCAGACCAAGCTGAAACTGGTTTGGCTCAATGGATAGAGCATCGGTCTGCGAACTGAAAGGTCCCAGGTTCGATTCCGGTCAAGGGCATGTACATTGGTTGCAGGCACATCCCCAGTAGGGGGTGTGCAGGAGGCAGCTAGTTGATGCCTTGTCAATGTTTCTAGCTCTCTATTCCTCTCTCTTCCTCTCTGTAAAAAATCAATAAAATATATTTAAAAATAAATAAATAAAATCCATAAAAAATAATACTTCCAGACCAAATCCTATATAATAAGTGATAATATATAAATTGATCATCACTCCAACATATAAGATGGCTGCCCCCATGTGGACACAAGATGGCCACCACAAGATGGCTAGCAGGGGAGGTTAGTTGTAGGCAATCAGGCCAGCAGGGGAGAGCAGTTAGGAGCGACCAGGTCTGCAGGGGAGGAAAGTTAGGGATAACTGGGCCAGCAGGGGATGGCAGTTGGGGATAACCAGACCTGCAGGGGAGGGCAGTTAGGAGCAATTGGGCAGGCAGGGGAGCAGTTAGGGAACAATCAGGCTGGCAGGAAGAAGTGGTTAGGGGCAATCAGGCAGGCATCAGGTGAGCGGTTGGGAGCCAGCAGTCCTGGATTCTGAGAGGGACGTCGGGCCTAAATGGGCAGTCAGACATCCCTCGAGGGGTCCCAGATTAGAAAGGTTGCAGGCTAGGCTGAGGGACAACCCCTCCCCATGCATGAATTTCATGAACCGGGTCTCTAGTGATATATAAAGGAATTTTACTATGTCAAGATGATTAGCAAAACCAGAAACATTAGATTCCTTTATCCCTCTCCAATCACTAACTCCATCAATAAGAAAATGTAATTAATGCATCAAAATTATAGATCTTTGCCATTGTTAAGAATGGTAGTATTTACTTATTTCAATAACTTTGGATCTTGAAAGTAATATTACTAAACTTTACTTCAAATTTACTTTATTGAACTTTTAGTACTTCAAATACATAAAACTTCAATACTCAACTTCTTTGCCCGGCTACTCTTGTTTTTTCACATTCCTCTACACTCTGTTATGGCTCAGCTTTGTGCTGGCAACCTACAACTAACTTCATATCAGAAATTGATAAAAAACAATTTGGTAATTTTCTCCAAGGAGAAAATCTAGCTATGACATTAAACTCTACAGCATTTAAGTCCAACTCAAAAAGTTAATTATTTGCAATAAGCCAATAAACTCTGATGAGACAAGATCAATTCAAAATTTTTCAGTCTGGTTTAATATATACATTTGTTACCCTATAAGCTGTTATTGTGCTTTGAACTTTGTAGTTTATAGTTTTAAGCTTAAACAGATCTTTAAGATTTCCCAAAAAACTGTGAATAGAGTTTCACAAAGAAATTTACAGGCAGTGTGATCACTGAGAGTTTAATTTTTACCATCTTAGCTTAATTACAATACTTAACAGTTTTTGTATTTCTTTCTTTTTCTTAATATATTTTATTGATTTTTTTACAGAGAGGAAGGAAGAGGGACAGAGAGCCAGAAACATCGATGAGAGAGAAACATCGACCAGCTGCCTCCTGCACACCCCCTACCGGGTGTCCACAGCCAATGTACATGCCCTTGACCAGAATCGAACCTGGGACCTTTTGGTCTGCAGGTCGATGCTCTATCCACTGAGCCAAACCAGTTTCGGCTGTATTTCTTTCTTTCTTTATTTAGATAGTTAATGTTCACCTGAGGATTTTTTCCCATTGATTTTTAGAGAATAGAAGGGAAGGAGGGGGAAAGAGGGAGAGAGAGAGAGAGAGAAAAAACATAGATGTGAGAGATACATCGACTGGTAGTCTCCCGTATGCACCTGGACCAGGCCAAGGATTGAATCGACAACCCAGGTATGTGTCCCTGAGGGGAAATCAAACCCTCCACACTTTGGGAGCCCACTAGCGCTGTAACCATTGAGCAGCACCGGCCTGGGCTCAATGGTTTTTAGTATAGTCAAAGTTGTGCAATCATCATCACAATCTAATTCCAGAACATTTTCATTATCCCCCACAAAAAAACCATACCCTTTATCTACCACCCTCAATGTCCTCAGTCCCCCAGACTCTGGCAACCAGTAAGCTTTCTATCTTTATAGATTTGCCTATCTGGACATTTCATATAAATGAAATCATAAAACATGTGGTCTTTCCAACTGGCGTTGTTCATGAAGCAGAATGTTTTCCAGGTTCATTCAGGTTGCAGAATGTTATATATCAGTACTTCTTTCCTCTCTATGGCTAAATAATTCCATGAATATACCATTTTTCAGTTTTTAGGCATTTCAATTATTTCCACTTTTTGGCTACCTGAATTTGAATATACGTGTACAAGTTTTTATGTGGACATATGTTTTCAGTTTTCTTGGATGTATCTCTAAGAGCAGACTAATATGCTAGCTCTCCCTACGCCTAACATTTTCAGCAACTGCCGAACCATTTTCCGAAGCACTGAACCATTTTACATCCCCATCAGCAATGTATGGGAATTTCACCGTTACATCATCCCAGCCATGAGAATGCTATAATTCCTGAACGAAAGGAGCGGTGAGTCCCATGCCACATTCTCTAGGACGAACACTGCGTTAACAAAGCATTATTAGTACTGTAGCTTTTCTGGCAGAAATACAAGAAATAATATGGCACAGGTCCAATTATACTGATGAGCAAACAAGTTGACCTCTGAGAGACAACGGTTCTTTGATCGTAAAGTAAGAGATGCTGTATGTAATAACATGTATGTTTGCAGCCGCCGTGTGAAGATTAAATAAACTCCCTCACACAGGTGAAAGTGCTTCCCAACATTTGATTGTTCGTGGCTCAGCCCTGGGCAAAGCATTCAGGGCAAAGGTTAACTGCCCCATCCCTCCCCGCCCGGATCCTTCGCGTTCCGGCCCCGCGCGGGAGGGGCGGCGGGGTGGCGGCGGGGCTGCGGCCGCCTCCCCGCGCAGGGAGGGCCGGCCTGACGGGCTGCGCAGGATCCATTGCGAGAGCTCGACAAGCAGAGCTGGGTCCCTTCAGCCCGTCACCGTTCCCAGGCGAGAGATTCCGCATCCTCTATTTATTTTTTTAAAATATATTTTATTGATTTTTTACAGAGAGGAAGAGAGAGGGATAGAGAGTTAGAAACATCGGTCAGCTGCCTCTTGCACATTCCCTACTGGGGATGTGCCCGCAACCAAGGTATATACGCCCCTGACCGGAATCGAACCCTCTATTTAGCTTATCGAGTCAGCGCACGATCTTTCTTCCTTTTTTAATGCTAATTAATACACATTTATTTGGGTCGACGTGGAAGAGGGGCAACGAAAACACGAGCATATCCCCCCGCCCCCGACCCGCGATCCCAGTCTCTCATCACTGCGTACTTCCCCAAAAGGTAAACAAATATGACACCCGATCCTTTACGAACTCCGCAGGTACATCTCTCTCCATGGCCCCCACAGAAACACCTAGGGCAAATGGCGCAAAGCTTACCTGGTGGCTTCCCCCAGCTCGACCTGGCTCCGTCCAGGTGCCTCCGGAGGGATAGTAGCCATCGCCTCCTCCGCCTTCTCCCGGCCAGGTGGTCTCCGCCGGGCCGCCCCCGCGCACCCGCCAGGAAATGGGAGGCTGGGGAGGTTCGGGACGAGGAGGATATAAGGGCGGAGGTGGGTGCACGGGCACGTCTCCACCCCCAGGCCCGTAGTAGCGGCCGTAAGACGAACCATCACTGGGGCCATAACCCGAACGCCTGAGGGCCGACATGGGCTCTACTGCCCCTAGGAGCTTCCCGCCCCCCACAGCCGCCCACTGCGTAGGCGCCAGCCGGCGAGCGGGAATGGACAGCGGGGGAGGGGGTCGGCCAACGCTAGCCAATCGCAGGCCAAGTCCCGCCCCCTCGGCTCCGGAGTCCGGAGGGTTGAGGGATGGGTCTCTGCGACTGTAGGGTCGAGGGATCAGGAAAATGGGAGGCAGCGATTAAAAGGGAGGATTCATCTTCCCGCCGTCTGCAAAATCTAGATTCCTTTTCCCCCTCTCTTCAGGGATGAGGAAAGGGTGTCCCAAACCGCACGACGGCCCCGCCTCTTCCTGGAGGCAGCACGTGATACCGGAAGTGGGTAGGGATAATATGGAGGAGCTTCCTGCGTGCCCCGGCGGCTGAAAGCCGGGGCAGAAGTGCGGGTCCCCCTCTGGGTTCCCCGTCCCAGTCCCGCCGAGGCGGCGACTGCGGCAGGAGGGAGGAGGTGTAGGACGCGCTGGTGGCTCTTCGCCGCTCCGCATGGCAGCCTTATCTCAGCTCAAAATGAACTATATGCCCGGCACCGCCAGCCTCATCGAGGACATCGACAGTGAGTTGCTCGTTTCCTTCGGGTGAAGTCTGGGCGAGCCCCTTCCTCCCCGGCCAGGGAGCTCGTAGAATGAGTGCGGGGCGGAGGGCACAGTTCTGGGCGTTTGCCGTTTGTCCACCTCTCGTGTCTGTCCTGCTCCTCGCAGCCCCGGTCCCCTGGCCGGTCAGCCACACCCCGGAGAACTCAGACCTTCTCTGCAGAGGACCAAATGCGAAATTTGTCCCCCCGCCAGTCAACTGTCTTCCTCTGCGATATTTCCAAGTACCCTGGTGGAAATTCTTAGAGGAAGGATTCAAGAAATGAAAATATTAAGACAACAGCATTTGGATTTAATTGGCAGTAAACGTAGGGCTTTATGCATTAACTCTGTAGCCATTTGAAATACTTTACCGTGAGGGTCTTGAACGCTCTCAGGTTGTGGGAGTAGAGACCAGTGCCAGGCAAGGTACTGATGGGTTTTTCTGGAAAGGCTGAGTCACTTGAAACTTCTTCCCACCCCTACCCCGGTCAGACCATTTTATGTTGCTTTTACTAAGAAGGCCTCCCTGTTCCTAGCCATTGCCCTGAAGGGGAGCTCAGTCTTGTACCAACCAGGAGCCAGTTACATTGTCCCGTCTTTCCTTTAGTGAATTATTCCTCAAGTAGCAATTTTGTAATAGTTTAAATCGTGTGATTTGTCTCATTAACTTGCAATCGCTGCAAAATGGTTATATATAGTTCCAAATAAGTTGCAAGTCTCTACCGTCACTAACCTGTTTCCACGAAAATAAGACAGTGTCTTATATTAATTTTTGCTCCCAAAGATGCGCTAGGTCTTATTTTCAGGGGATGTCTTATTTTTCCATGAAGAAGAATACGGTACACATTTATTGTTAAATGAAAATAAAGGAAATTTATTACCTGTGTACGGTACGGTAGTACGGTAGTTGTCAACACAAACCAGACAAACTGTGAATCCTACAGTATCAAGAATTTACTCATTTATTCAATGACAATCATGTCATCATCTTCTGGAACATCATCATAACAATCCAATTCCTGAATTTCCTGGTGAATTTCTTGTGACTCCATTTCTTTCAGAATTAGTGGACCAAATCTCTCATGTTTAGCCGGGGGGGGGCCTTATCTTCGGGGGGGATGCCTTATATTTCACTCAGAAGGAAACCTGTAAGTAGGTCTTATTTTCGGAGGATGTCTTATTTTCAGAGAAACACGGTATGTTTGCAAATTAAAGAATGAATGTATAATTAAACTTTTAATCATCTGAAATTATTTTTAAAATCTAAATTAGTGATTTTGCTATGGAAGGGAAATGTAGGGTAAACTGGACCAGATTCATATAAATAAGCATTGTATCAATACAAACCTATCTGTAGTGTAATGAAAACTTAAGTTTTAGTTGTCTGTGCCCTCACCTCTCTTGTGTATATCTATATTATTTCAGGCCCTAACACTCCCTGTAATTTTATTAAAAATAATTGTTGGCTCTTTGCTGTTGTGGGTTCAGTTGGTTGGGCTACATCCTGTGGACCAGAAGGTTGCTAGTTCGATTCCTGGTCATAGCACATGCCCATGTTACGGGCTAGATCCCGGGTAGGGAAGCCTGCAGGAGGCAGCCAATGGATGTTTCTCTCTCCCCCTCTCCCCCTTTCTCTGAAAATCAATTTTTAAAATCTTTAAAATAATGTTTGTTCTCAAGCCTTCTAACCTCTTTTTTGTAGATTCCAAGCTTCCTCTACTGAAAAATTCGAAACTATTTCATATGTGCCTTTCACTGCTCCCTCCCCCTTCTCTTTCTTCCTCTCTCCTTAGTCTTTCTGGTATTTTCACCCATCCTTTCATTTGAGTAGGAAGTATTTCTCCCTTTCAATTTATGTCTTTCCTCCCACTGCTTCTGGAACCTTCTATTATTAATATCCATTTTCTCCCTGGATTTTTCCCTTCATTTATGTTCTATTCTGTCCTTGTGTTGTTGTTTTTCCCAGTTGTGTCTCCCCATCAAACTTCCATCCTTATTTTTCTATCCTTATCCCCAAACCTCTTGAGTCATCTCCATTTTGATGCTTTCTGAGCATCTACAATAGACCACCTCTATTACCCCAAACAATAATTGATTTTTGTTATCAGCACACTGCTGTAGCTCCATTCTTAAAAGGCATTGGCCTAATAATGCACTCCTGAGTTTTCCCTTCCCTTCTGCAGCATTGTGATGATACTATTATATTATGTAACTAGATTCTTTTCTTTTTTTTAAGAATTAAAAAAAAAAATTTAATATATTTTATTGATTTTTTACAGAGAGGAAGGGAGAGAGATAGAGAGCTAGAAACGTCGATGAGAGAGAAACATCGACCAGCTGCCTCTTGCACACACCCTACCGGGGATGTGCGCGCAACCAATGTACATGCCCTTGACCGGAATCGAACCTGGGGCCTTTCAGTCCGCAGACCGACGCTCTACCACTGAGCCAAACCGGCTTCTGCTGAAACTAGATTCTTTTTTTTTTTAATATATTTTAATTGATTTTGTACAGAGATGAAGGGAGAGAGAGAGTTAGAAACACCGATGAGAGAGAGTCATCGATCAGCTGCCTCTTGCACACCCCCTACTGGGGATATGCCCGCAACCAAGGTACATGCCCTTGACTGGAATCGAACCCGGGATCTTTCAATCCCCAAGCCGACACTCTATCCATTGAGCCAAACCAGTTTCGGCTGAAACTAGATTCTTAATCTGTGCTCTTGATTTCTCTAAAATGGCACTTGGTTTTCTTATTTCAACTCGTACTGTTCCCTAAAATAGATTGTCTCTTGGGTTACCTCTTTGGCCTGCTCCTTTAAGTCTCTAGGAAATCTCAGGGACTTTAATATTATATCACCTCTCTGTTTGGCCTGCTTCTTCTTTCTTAGGTCTGTAGGAGATCTCCTGGACTTTAATAGTTATATCACCTATTGTAGCCTTATCCAAAACTTCTCTCTCCAATTCTGACCTCTCTGCTATTTCAAGTGGACATAAACCACAGTAATTTGTTCGACATCCCTACTGGGATATGCAAACTTTATTTTTTTTTAAATATATTTTATTGATTTTCCACAGAGAGGAAGGAAGAGGAATAGAGAGCCAGAAACATCGATAAGAGAGAGACATTAATCAGTTGCCTCCTGCACACCTCCTACTGGGGATGTGCCTGCAACCAAGGTACATGCCCTTGACCAGAATCAAACCTGGGACCTTTCAGTCCACAGGCCAATACTCTATCCATTGAGCCAAACCTGTTAGGGCAAATGTACTATTTTGATTCATTCACAGCAGATAGCTATTGTTTTGTTGGCTATTGTCCTTTTTTTTTTTTTTTTTTTTTTTTTTTTTGACAGTCTAGAGAAAGATTAGTGCCCCTGACTAAATTGGTATTGCACTAAGAGATTACTGGTTAGATTCCATTCAGGGCACATGCCCGGGTTGCAGACTCCATCCCTGATAGTGGGGATGTAGGAGGCAGCCAATCAGTGTTTCGCTCTCACATTGATATTTTATTTCTTTCTTCCTCTTCCTTTTTTCCTCTCTTAAAAAAAAATAAATAAATAAATAAAAAATAGAATTCCTGGTGCACACTGTTTGAAAATTGCTGTTTTAATCTAAACCCCAGGCTAACTTGGTCCTCCAATTTCTTAAGAACTCAAATACATTGGAAGAGGAAGTGGTAGAGCTTAAACAATCAACTTTATATTTATTGTTACTCTGTAAGCTCACTGAATCTAACAGTTTTCAGTTTTTAAAGATTTTTTTTTTCCTGTTCCCAGAAAAGCACTTGGTCCTGCTTCGAGATGGAAGGACACTTATAGGCTTTTTGAGAAGTATTGACCAATTTGGTACGTATTAGTTATAGACTTCTCTTATACTCTGGATAACAAGAGCCGCCCATTGTATTTTTGTTATTTTATATTGTAAGGTATTTATCTGCAACTTTTTCATGTGTCTGGTATAATGGAATACTGTCCTGAGTCATTACATCACTGTTTCCTAAATTATGACGAGATGATTCAAAAGCTTATATTTTCAAGCCTGTATTTCTAAACTGGTTTTCACTAGAACATATGATTATAATGTCTTGGACTATTGTTTTTATTTTCCCCATTAGAGGGAGCCAAAAGATAGAAATAAACTCAGTCCATTGAAAAAGCTGCTCATTTGTACACTGGCTTGGGTGCGACTACTCTTCAAAGCAGGTCTTGCACTGAAGGTAATCCCTCCCTGCCCAATGAAAATTGGATAGACGGCACTTTCTGAAGCTTGTTAGGGACCCCAACATTAAGCTCAAGATTTTACACTTAAGGATACATCATCATACTCAAGAGTTTCGGTCTTTGTTTGCATCTGCATTTTCTTTTCTTTCTTTTTTTTTTTTTTAATATATATTTTATTGATTTTGTACAGAGAGTAAGGGGGAGAGAGAGAGAGAGTTAGAAACATCGATGAGAGAGAGTCATTGATCAGCTGCCTCTTGCACACCCCCCCTACTGGGGATATGCCCGCAACCAAGGTACATGCCCTTGACAAGAATCGAATCTGGGACTTTTCAGTCCCCAAGCCGATGCTCTATCTATTGAGCCATACCGGTTTTGGCATGCATCTGCATTTTTCTAAAAAGATCTGTGTTTGCTTTTGTTTCAAGAAACTTCTTATTTCATTTGTTGGACATCTTCTAGGTCAGTGGATTTGAGCATGAGGAAAATAACAATGTAATTGAGACACTTATAAGAATTATAGAAGTTAAAGAATATAGATACCTGCTTTCTTCAAATATGACAAATGCAAAGAAATAAATGATTCCTTTTTTATTTTTTTATTAAGGTATTATATTAAATGATTCTTAACATATTGGGAATTCTAAAACATTTTTTTAAAAAAATACATTTTTATTGATTTTAGAGGGAGAGGGATAAAAACATCAGAGAGAGACATAGATCAGCTGCCTCCTAAATACTCCCCAATGGGTAGTAAGCCCACAATCTAGACATGTTCTTGATTGGGAATTGAACTGGATTACGGGTCGACACTCAACCACTGAGCCACACCAACAGAGCAGGGTTCTGAATCTTAAGTCAAGTCATCAGACTACTTAGAGCGAAAAGTAATAAATACTGCCTACTCTCAGATTACCAGGTATGGTTATCTGACAAAATGAAAATACAGGTTTTTGCTGTATCATAATTCATGGATGCTTGTATTGGGTTAAGTACAATAAATCCTAAGTACTGAAACAAAGTTAAATTTTGGTAACTCATCATGTATACACACGCCACAACATAGAAAAACCTAGAGTTTTAATCTTTGCAGTTGTTTAGAGTCTTCCAAGTGCCCTACTTATATTTTCTTACAGCCATGTTCATTTTAACAGTTAACTGATAAATGAACTTAATTTTTTTAAACTTTTCCCCACCATCACTCATGTATTAGTGCAACATGATCCTAGATACTCTCATTTTGTAATTGTTTAAACATCTCTTAAGTGGTGTGTCATACAGAAATAGGAGACTGTGTTTTAAATTTTAGCTTTTCCTAAAGTTAGAAAGTTTTAAAACCATGCTTAACTAAATCTTTTTTACTCAAAATAACTGAGTTATAGACCTTTACCCAGTAATTTAAACTGAATATCTTTGTTTTTTCCCTATACACTTATAGCTAATTTAGTGCTACATCAGACTGTGGAGCGTATTCATGTGGGCAAAAAATACGGTGATATTCCTCGAGGGATTTTTGTGGTCAGAGGAGAAAATGTGGTCCTACTAGGAGAAATAGTAAGTGAAAACTGTTAAGCTGCTATGGCATGGGTCTTGATAATTATGATAGTTAGCTTTTTTTTGGTCTTTTCAAGAAGAAAAATAATACATTTTACACATTTCACCCAACTTCTCACAGGAAACCACCAAATTAGCTTAGAAAAGCCACAATTGTAAAAGGAAAGTTTTAGATAATTAACTTTGTTTCAGTGCCTCTTGGCATTTTAAAGATTTTATCCCATTAGCAGCAAAATATCATTGATTTTTACTTAATATCTTCAAAAACTACCATTCTGCAAATGTGTTCATTAACAAATGTCTGCTATTTCTAATAGCAGAAAATTGAAAAACTAGAAAAGAATGATTTGATAAAGATTTATATACAAAGCAGTTGGTTATAAGTAGTTTTTTATAACAACGTTAGCTGTGTTGGGGAGGAAAGACACATTGCATATTCAGTGTGATATCTGTATTCTTATAGGGGGTTGGGGAAGGAATGGATATAGGAGAAGCCTTTCTGTAAACTATCCTGGTAATGGAGTTCAGTCAGCTTCGCCTGAATTCTTAGCTCACAACCAATTTTTGGAAGAAGACTAGCTGGCAGGTGTGAAGTTAAATCTTCTAGGGTGTGTGAGTGTGTGTGTGTGTGTGTGTGTATACACACACACACACACACACACACACACAAAACTATTAGAAAACTTATATACAGGGCAGGACAAAAGTAGGTTTACACTTCATATGAAAAAGAATACAGTAATTAATTAGTAATATAAGAATAAACTGTTTCCTGTACTCAAAACTATAAACCTACTTATGCCCAATTTTATATATAAAACTAAGAAGTACTCAACATTTTAAAAAGATAAACCTGATTTCATGTTTTACATGAAACATAACTTAAAAATACCTTATTTAATACCTTTGACTTGATCCTGCTACTTCTGATTATTGGGTCCAGGAAAATAAAAATAAAAACTTTGATGTTTGCTTGATTTTATCTTTTCCTATTTTGTTTTTAAAGTTTTCAGTAAAGTTCCCAATATCTAGCCACATCTTTTTTTTTTTTTACGTTTTTTTTTTAATTATTATCTGTGTACATATTTTAACATTGCCCCCCCCCCCCCAATACATACCCTCCCTCCCCATAGTTTTGTGTCCATTGTCTAGCCACATCTTAAATCAGGTTTTGAGAGTAGTGATTCATTTTAACAATAAGCCATTTAAGAAAATGAGGTAATTCTGTCAGGGTCCAGTTGGTTCAGAGACCTTGTATGAAATAGTTAGCTGGAAATGACTACACAATACTGCCCGAGTGTGGCTATGACATGCCTTTTTCTAATTTTTAAAATAGTTTTGTAGTTGATGTTTTTGGTTCAGTGTATCATTTCTTCCATGTTTGTGCAGCAGAAATTATCTCCGTGTATTATGTAAAGGTTGAAATAAAGCACTCTACTACCTGGAGATGTGGCCGTGAAGTAGTCTGCCAGTATATTAAGAGGGGCTAACCGCTCTCTGGTCAGTAGGATTATGGCTGAATATTTTTTTCTTCTTTTATACTTTTCTGAATTTAATTTTTGAAGAGGAGATCTATTGCTACTAGGGATAACGAGCTAGGTTAAAATATTTACACATACTCTGCTTCAGATTTACAATAGTGAACAGCACAGAAATGCTTTCTATGCCAGTTACATTGGCATAAATTGACCCTTTGTAGATGTATATATATGTGAAGAGAAATGAATGAACTTGTGTTTGTTCTTACAGATTTATTATATCCTGATAGCCCTTTTGTGGAGAAAAGTACTCTTTTTATATATTATGGTTTGGATGCTGTAGAATTTTTGCAATGGTAATACTAAAGAAAAATAGGAATGCTTACATAGTTACATGAATCAATAGTTGGTTTGAAGAAATTAAGTGCCAATCCTAGGGATGCCATCTAGATTCTGCAAATATTTCATTACTTAGAAAGTCCCTGGATTCTGCCTCAAGGATGGTGGACAAAGTCTAAAGTAACAAGTCGGATTCTTGGGAAACAGCATCATTATAACCACATGAATAGCTCAATGAGCAACACACTGACAATTCCAAGAGGCAGTAAGCTAAGAACATGATCTTCCCTTCAGCTGTTATCCATGGGTTTTGAGGGCAGGTTACACTTATAATAACATAGATTTTTGACTCAGGGCAGCTTTTGTTTATGTCATTTGTGTGGCTTTCATCTAACCTCTCTGGTGAGAGTCCTCCATCTGATGTGTCACAATCTGTGGGTTCTGAGGCCTTGGTGGCGTCTGAATATTCGCATTCAGTGGAACATCTGGAGAGTTTCTGTATGTGTAATGGCTTCTCAGAATTTTATCACTGAAAGGGAAGAGGATAAGAAATAAGAATACCCTGTTTGTATAGGCTTATCAGTTACAAAACAGAGTAATACCTCTTAAGTTCATTTTAAAGAGAATAAACTGAATCTATGGATAATAGTGAGATGCTCTTATAGCAAGATTCTGCATTACATGATTGGTTATCAAACGTTTATAAGTTATTTAAAAATAAAAGTATTGCCCTAGCTGGTTTGGCTCAGTGGATAGAGCGTCGACCTGTGGACTCAAAGGTCCCGAATTCGATTCCAGTCAAGAGCACATGCGGCTTGATCCAAGTTGGGGGCGTGCAGGAGACAGCCAATCAGTGATTTTCTTTCATCATTGATGTTTCTCTCCATCTCCCTTCCTCTCTGAAATCAATAAAAGTATTAAACATCTTATGCCATATTAAGATGAAAAATTACAGTCAATATTTGCATTGTGGGTCTTTTAAGAAGTCAATATATACATGGAAAAATTGGAAAGTTATTCACCAATATGTTATTCCTCCATACTGGAATTAAAGATTTTTTTTCTTACTGTCTATTTTTTTCATCTTTTTTTAGTCCTCACCCGAGGATATTTTTGCATTGATTTTTAGAGAGAGGGGAAGGGAGAAGGAGAGACAGAGAGAGAAACAGATATGGGAGAAACACATCTATTGGTTGCCTTCTGCATGCACCCCAACCAGGGCCAGGAGTCTGCCATCAAGATACACGTCCTCGACCAGAATGGAACCTGGGACCCATTAGTCCGCAGGCTGATGCTCTATCCATTGAGCCTAACTGGCTAGGGGGCTGGTTGGCCAGTTTTAAAATATCATATAATGAGCATGTGTGTGTGTGTGTGTTTAAATAATGGCAAAAATGATTATTTTAGTAAGTAAAATAATGATTTTGTAAAATCCTCACCCCATTATAGTATGTATTTCATTGAGTGAGAGAAAGAGAGAGAGAGAAACATTGGTTAATTGCTGAGAGAGAGGGGAAGAGGGAGAGAAACATTGGTCAGTAGCTTCCCATAAAGGCCTGACCAGGAATCAAATTTCACCACCTTTTGGTTTATGGGATGACACTCTTCAACTGAGTCACACCAGGCAGGGCAGTAAGCAAAACAATTTTAATTAAAGTAGAGAACTATATTGGGACTGAAGTGGTGTGGTAATCTAACTGCTCCTCTGAGGTTTTCTCTAGAAGATTTGTCATGGAGGGAAAAGGAGTCTTGTGTTATTTAAAGACTCCTAGTTAATGTGGAGGGACAGTTTATTGTCTTTGGTGGGAGGAGGTCCTTCTTAGACTCAATGGTCTCTACCTTACTGAGCAACACCACCAGAATTTAAGCTGATTTAATAATGTAAATATACAAAACTTAACTGAAGCCATCTTGGCCTCGGTAACTTCTCTCTTGGATTCTCTTGAGTTGGAGAGTGAGCCTTATTTTATTTATATATTTAGGGGGTTTTTTTTGTTTGTTTGTTTTTGTTTTTTTTTAAGAAAAGTAGTTGTTGACTAGTATAGGACTTCAGATAACCTAAAGCTTTGTTATACACAATACACACTGTAACTGATCCTATTATCACATTCATGTAAGTACTCTATAGTAGAGTGGCCAGCCATTTCTTTGTAAAACTTATCCATTCCTAGGAGAAGGATATTTCAACCATGTCACGATTATGAAAAAATAACCCAAGCCTGACATAGAATCCATTTGCCTTGAGATCTGCAGTGTTTTCTGTTCTTGGTCAGCTGAAGTGTCTTAAACCTGTTTGTTTTGTAGGACTTGGAAAAGGAGAGTGACACACCCTTGCAGCAAGTGTCCATTGAAGAAATCCTAGAAGAACAAAGAGTAGAACAGCAGACCAAGCTGGAAAACGAGAAGATCAAAGTTCAGGCTCTTAAAGACCGAGGTCTCTCCATTCCTCGAGCAGACACTCTTGATGAGTATTAAGTCTTTTGCTCTTGGGGAGCAGGGGCTCTCACTGAATGAAAATGACGTTCTGGTCACCTCACACATTTGACTAGAGACCGTAGAATTTTGAAAAATTTTTCTTTTGGATTCTTTCACATGTGTAACATGAAGAAATCATGTGGCTTTTTTTCCTTTTTATGAACAAAATCATTGTCTAAAGAAATAGCTGGATGGACTCCTTTCACACATCGCTATGGAGCCAGCAACTACTTTTCTATGTTGCTCTTCTCATCCCAAATTAGAGTTTACAGGGCACAGTCTTCACTTGCTTGTAAATAAAATATGAATCTCAAAGTTGTCATGTTATTTTCCAAGTTTGAGTCGCCTCCATTGAATAAGCAAAATTAAATTTCTGTTCTCAAAGGTATAACCAGTCCGCACACTGGGATTTCCCCTCTGTCACACTTCCAAGTTGCTAGTTACTGAGGAAGAAATATTTTCATACTAGGTATCTTGTGGTCTTCTCCTCTCCCCCCTGATGAGAAAAACACATTTCAACCTTCAGGAAGGGGCTTTTGGTAAAGTTGCACAGTTACTGGTTATAACAGCCTCAGGTGTGAGAAACAACATCACTACTAAAGTTGCTGTTCTGCTTCACCAACAGCTTTTCAGAACAAGGTTCCCCTGAGTTCCAGCATTTAACTAAGGTGACTTTTTCTCTGTTTAGTTCAGGGTTCTAGCCCTTCGGATTGAATCTTGAGCCTCTTACGCTATTCTCAACAAAAAAGGAGCACAAACAAAATGGTGTTTCAGTGGCTGATACATTTCCGTTACTCCTGCTGATCCCCCAGAGTGATGCCACTTTTCTGGTATGATGTTGACTGCATGGTGAGTTTAACAGGCTGCTCGCAGAGAGGACAGTGTAGTTCATTGGACAGTGCACTGAGGTAGAAGTTTAGGAGTTTGTGTTAAAATTTTCACTTTTTTCTACCCCTGGCACCTTGGGCTTGAGCAAGTCTTTTCTGAATTCTCAGGGGGTTTTTAACTGGAATTATCCCAGGCACTTCCTTTTCTTAATCTATTGAGCAAAAGTTGTCCTATTCATAAGGTTTATTTGCATTTCCTCTGAATTATTTTTTAGCACCACATATACTTAATATTTTATGAGCTCAGGTGTTTTTAAAACTGCCCCAGATGCCTATAAACCATTTGATTGCTGAACTCTTCATCACTGAATAGATTTTAACATAATTTGTGAAGAAACAGCTGTACTTAATGTTTTATCAAGTGTGTTGTGCCTCTAACCATTTAATAACTAGAATTTGTTTTTTAACTACTGATACAAAGGGAGAAGAACACCATCACCAATTTTTGGAAAACATATCTAACTAGATAATATTCTTTGGGAGTCAGCAAGATTACAGCATTTGTTTTTTTAAGCACCACTGTTTCAAAACTTTGGTACTTTCAAGGAATTTGGATTCTAGTTATCTAGTTTTTTCAACCTTCTTTAACTTCAAACACAATAACAGGAGTTATAATTTATTATGTTAAAGGAGGAAAAGAGACTGAATTTTAACAGAATTTCCCAATCATAGCAAGGTTCGGGTCATTGCTTTTAGACCTTTGTCCTGCAGGCAGCATCGAAGAATTAGATGTAACAAATGAAACTAGACTACCAGCTAACTTCCTCTTCATCTCCAGGATGATACTCTCAGCTATGCACAGTCCAGGATTTTTATCTTTTTTGTTTTTTAAATTGATTTTATTGAGAGGAAGGGGGAGGCACACCCCCTTGACCAGTGATCAAACCTGCAACCTGGGTAACCTGGGTGTGTGTCCTGATGGGGGAATTGAACCTGCAACTCTGGTGTACGGGACAATTCTTCAACCAACAACCACACCAGTCCGGGCCTATTTTATCTTTTAATAATTTCTTCCAATAGGGTTCCCAGGAGACTGCTTTCAAGGGAGACAAATAAGGAAGATCTACTGAACCCCTCTCTGGCCATCTTTATTCTGATATACTTGAGCATAGCAACATATCTCTTACTCTTCCAGCTGGTCTCTCCCTTTCCTTGGACTTTGATCTTACATTGCATGCTCTTAGCTAAGTTTAAACCACACTATCTGCTTCCCTCCCCAAGTCTGATAAACTCCCAAAAGGCCCTGAAAACCTAAGAATAGCCAGATACCCTAATACTGTCTATTATGGAGGGTTCCTCAGGGAAGCTGTGTCGATGTGAACCTCACAAGTATTGCACAGAGGTAAAGAAGACAAGGAAAATGGTCTCACAAGTGTTGGCTGGCAGTCCCAGGCAGAGGGTAGTGCAGACAGCGGAAGGCGTAGGCCAGCAGGCAGAGTGGACACACCTACTGTGGGCAGTTCCCAACCTCTTGTCTCAGATTCATACATGACAATGGTGGCACTGCACAGCTGGATCCATCAAGAAGTGGATCCCAGGAATTGTATCTGGCAAGAAAATAGAGAAGAGGGAATTAATAAGCAGTCTCCTACCCCTTGTCTCCCCCCAAAAAATATATATATACGTGTGTGTGTGTGTGTGTGTGTGTGTGTGTGTGTGGCATTTCTCACCTAAGTCGTACTAAAAAAGATAAACACCCATTTTCCTTTCTCATTAGGAGCCAGCATTCCCAGTGAGGAACAAATAAGGCATTTAGGTGTAGATGTTGCAGGCTGATATACACTAATGCTGAACCAACCTTCCAAATTGAAGCTTCATGGGTGCTTGTTTTTCCAGGGCTTATGTCCAGATAAGGGAGCCAAAATCAAAAGTAAATGTTCCTATCCCTCTCCCAAGATCTTCTAGCCTAAAAGAATGAGAAAAACCAACCCTAGGAAATGAGGGATATCTGCTACTCACCTATCTCAAACTTTGGGTCCATCTGCCTGGTTAGGACTCCCCAACCTGTCGACTCCTTGGGTTCTGCCAAGAGACTTGAAGCAGAGAATAAAATCAGGTCCTTTTTTCCTGTTTTCTACCCCTTTACATAATTAAAAAAAAAAAAAAATCCCCCTACCGTATTTTCTGGCGTATAAGACGACCCCCTAATTTTACAGTTTAGGCCTATATTCGCTGTATAAGACTATCCCCCACTTCCGAGGCAACAACTGTTCTTTTTTTAATTAAATTTTTAATGAATGACATTTTTCGAACATACCGTAATATACCGTACATTGATATGATAAATGGAAGGTCTCTTCACAAATGGCAATGCCATGAACTTGACCGAGAAACAAGAAATCCAAAAGAAAACATTAACAATGATGGCATCATCTGGAAAGAAAATTACATGAAGAACTTGCAGAAAACGCTTGTTTGTGACTGACTGGGATGATGAGAGGTTTTTCTAGGCAGAGGAGCATTGTGAGCTTAAAATCCTTCAAAATCCTCATCATGTTCTTCTGACATCGTATACCATGGTGAGCCAATCACAACAAGCATAGGTTCAAAGGTTATAATAGACCACCTCTCTGACTCTGGCCAATCTGAGCAGGCTTTTTACTAGAACACAGTGTAGCTTTGGGTACAGAACATGTATAATTTGCATGCACAAAAAGCCTGCTTGGATTGGCTGAGTTAGAGAGGCGGTCCAAGCAGCCTTGCAGTGATTGGTGCGGGATCAAGTTGGAAAATTTGTTTAGCGGCATATCGAGATGTTTTTCGGGGTATACTCTGCGTATAAGACAATCCCCCCGATTTTCGGTTGACTTTTCGTTTCAAAAGTCGTCTTATACGCCAGAAAATACGGTAATTCCAGCCACTCAATAGCTGTTGCTGCCACTTGGCTAGACCAGGGAAAAAATGAGCTCCACTGAAACCAGTTTGGCTCACTTGGGGACTGAAGGGTCCCGGGTTCGATTCCGGTCAAGGGCATGTACCTTGGTTGCGGGCATATCCCCAGTAGGGGGTGTGCAGGAGGCAGCTAGTCGATGTTTCTCTCATCGAAGTTTCTATCTCTCTATCTCTCTCCCTTCCTCTCTGTACAAAATCAATAATATATATATATATATATAAAGAACAAGCCTTTCTGTAAAATAAATAAATAAATAAATAAATAAATAAATAAATAAATAAATAAAAAATGAGCTCCAGATGCTGCTCTGGAAATACAGAGAATTGCGTGGAGTTGGGGCACCAGCCAATCTGTAGCCGGGACTTGAAGGAGGAGAGAGGGCTCAATGCTGAGCATGTCTCAAGGTCAGGAGACCAGGTTGTCTGGGAATCCCATTTCTAAGACCCAATTTTATGGGCGTATAATTTACCTCCTGTAAAATGCACTCCTTTTGGTGTCTGCGTTTCTAACAGCTGCATCTAGTTATATACCATCACCCCTGCCCCTTTGTATTTAATGTCTCTCTCCTTCCCCAGCCCCTCACAACCACTGGTCTGTTTTCTGTCTGTATAGTTTATGTTGGCATCTATTATAGTTCAATTTTTTTCTTAAAAGAGTGTGCAAGCTGAATAAAATATCTGGGAGGTTACATCTATCTCACCAGTCTTCAGTTTGCTCTTCTGGTTTAGGCTGTTCCAAAGGACGGGGAAACTGTGTGTGCCCTGTCAAACTCCCTGGGCAAAGAAACCTAAAGCCTGGCTCACCTGCTGGAAACGGAGGGTGAAAGGCAAACCAGAGAACCAAGTAAAATTGAGCTGAAACCGGTTTGGCTCAGTGGTAGAGCGTTGGTCTGCGGACTGAAAGGTCCTGGGTTCGATTCCGGTCAAGGGCGTTGCGGGCACATCCCCGGTAGGGTGTGTGCAAGAGGCAACTGGTCGATATTTCTAGCTCTCTATCTCTCTCCCTTCCTCTCTGTAAAAAAATCAATAAAATATATATTTTTTAAAAAATTGAATAGTTGCCTAGTCATTCATTACCCTAAAGCTTGTGGAGCAACTACTTTATGCCAGGTGTATGGAGCAGGCAACTATGGCCTCATGTTTTCAGAGAAAAATACGATTTTAAAAGTTACGCTGTAGCCCTGGCTGGTTTGGCTCCATGGATGGAGTGTTGACCTGCAGACTTGGGGGGGGGTCCCCTGGTTTGGTTCTGGTTGGGGGCATATGCCTGGGTTTCCGGCTTGAGCCCCAGTGGGGGCCATGCAGGAGGCGGCTGATCGGTGATTATCTCTCATCATTGATGTTTCTCTCTCTCCCTCTCTCCCTTCCTCTCTGAAATATATATATTTATTTATTTATTTTAAGTTATGCTGTAGCCCTGGCTGCTTCGTGCTGTTGTTTAGACTGTTGTCCCCTTGTGCCAAGGCTGTAGGTTCAATCCATGGTCAGGGTACATACTAAAATCACCAATGAATACATAAATAAGTAAAACAACAAATCGATCTTTCTCTCTCCCTCCATCTCTAAAATCAACCAAAATTTTTTTTTTTTAAGTTAAGCTATATAAACGAGAGCACAGACTAGACTGCCTGATTTTGCATCCTGGTTTCTTCGCTCAAATAGCTCTCTGAACTTGGTCAAGCTGTTTACCTTTCAGTGCCTCAAGTTCCTCATCCATAAAATAGGGGTAATAATTATACCAATGCTTTGGGTGGTGGTTATCTTAAGTGAGTCCATGTTGTAAGGGGGTTAGAACAGCGCCTGGCACAGAAGGAGTTCTCATTGCTAAAGTAAACACTTGTTGAATCCCCAACGCTGTGCCAGGCTCATGGGAGAGATGCCATACCCTCAGTGAATTTGTACGTATAGTCACCCTTGTACAAATAAGAGTAATATCTGTGAAATGATGGTGACCAACTCAGATTAAGAAATTACATGCTGGATTACATAAATGTATTATAAGGGGAGATAATCAATAATTACCTCCAGCCTGGCTGGCATGGGTTAGTGGTTCAGTGTCAACCTATGAACCAGGAGGACATGGTTCGATAACCAGTCAGGGCACATGCCTGGGTTGCAGGCTCAATCTCTCTCCCTCTGCCTTCTTCCTTGAAGTCAATAAAAATATTTTTAAAAATTAATAATTGCTTACAATCCAAGCAGTCAAACTTGCCTTAACTTTCTTCTGCTTTCTCACAATAGAGGAAAATACTCTATTCTCTCAATATTAAATAAGCAAATAGTCCTAGCTGGTTTGGGTCAGTGGATAGAGCATCAATCTGTCTGCAGAATGATGGGTCTTGGGTTTGATTCCAGTCAAGGGCACATGTCTGGGTTGCAGGCTTGATTCTCAGTAGGGAGCATGCAGGAAGCAGCCAATCAATGATTCTCATCATTGATGTTTCTATCTCCCCCTCTCCCATCCTCTCTGAGATCAATAAGAATATATTCTAAAAAAAGGAAATAGGGTGAGGTGGGGCCCAAAGGGAAGCCCTTGAGGACAGATAACACTGTGAGCTGCCTTGAATGAGAAGGCATGAATGAGGCAGACCACAGACAGGCACTTCAGCACAATGCTGAGCAGCTGGAGAGAAAATCCAGGGTGAGAATTCAGAGGCCCAGCAACTGGGCTGAGAAGTCTAGATTAAATCTTAGGGACTCTTGCCGAAACCGGTTTCCCTCAGTGGATAGAGCATCAGCCTGCGGACTGAAAGGTCCCGGGTTCGATTCCATTCAAGGGCATGTCCCTTGGTTGTGGGCACATCTCCAGTAGGGTGTGTGCAAGAGGCAGCTGATCGATGATTTCTCTCATCGATGTTTCTAACTCTCTAGTCCTCTCTCTTCCTCTCTGTAAAAAATCAATAAAATATATATTTTTAAAAATCTTAGGGACTCTTAATGTATTATTACCACATTTGAGCCATATAACTCCCCTCTCCCTCCAAAAAAAAAGATTACAAAAAGAAAAACAAAACATCTCTCTATTTTACAGGTAAGAAATTTGAGATTGAAGATGTGAGCAACTCCAATCATAAAGTAAGTGGTGGAACCAGGACTGAAGGTCTCCGAATACAAAACCTGTGCTTTCTCCGCTCCAGTTCACAGCATCCTCAGTACCATCCCAACCAACCCAAAGGCAGGTGCTGTTGCCTAGTGCTCGCCTGCTCTGAGTGAGGGCCCAGACAAGTTCAAGGTTCCTCTCCTCAACTCTCAGGAATCTGCAGAGGAATTAATCTTCCACCACAACTCACCATTTCATGGCTGAACAACCAAAGTCCCCGAGGACAGCCAGCTCTCAACCCTCACCCCTTCTCCATGCTGTTGGCCACTTGTTCTTCCTGGGACACCCACACTCCATCCTCTCTCTCAAACCAGGCTAGCTCCTTCTTACACCTCCCACACACAGCTCCTATCACTTCCTCCCAGGAGCTGTCCATGGCACTCCTCTCTCTCCCTGTGTAATTAGGTGTTCCCTCCCTTGTGCTTCCAGAACCCCTCATCTGCTCTACAACTTTTCATATTGGGTCATATGGTTCATTTTCCTCATAGCTGTAGAGACACAGTGGACACTCAATAAAGGATTGTTGAATGAATGAATGAATGAATGAAGTCTTCTTTTCTGCCCACCCTGTCTCCCTGCCCTGGCCCTGGGCCTTCCTCCCCAACACTCTGCACAGCCTCAGCGAGATCTCTGGAATCTTCCTTCTGACCAGTTGTGTCCATCTGATCTCCCCCTGGCAGGGGGGGAGGGGTGGGGGGTTAGGGGTGGGGATGGTGTCTCTGCTCTTATCAAGAAGCAAAGCCAGATACAGGTGACATCCAGAACCAAAGGAAATTTCCAGACCTCTCTCCCGACCTTAGACAGAGAGGCAGAGTTAATGGTCATTCGGCCTGAGGAAGAGAAAAAAGCCTTGGCCTGGGGAGGTCACCAGCACCCTCCTCCTTTGAGTCAATGGCTGCCTCTGACATCAGCAACAGCCCTATGCCTCAGTCCTCCAGCATCCCCACACCACCTCCTCCCTCTCACAGAGGCCATAATTCTCCTTGGGATGGCAACAGCAGGGCCTTGAACATTATCTGCAGGGCCTGTCCCATAATAACTCCCTCCCACCGCCTCCACTGGGACGCACATGTGCACGAGGGCGCACGTGTACCAGGAAGGCAGGAGCAGCTGCCTCAGCAGCCACCTGCACCTTCTCCTTCACGTCTACGAAAATCAGAGCCCCCTAAACCGCCCTCCCCGCTCTCCACACAATGAACAACAGAGGCCAAGGCCTCTTGCTTCAATCCTGTCTTTCCTTTGGGGCTCTTAGAGGGTTGAGAGCTGGCTAAGCCCACAGGCAGATTTCCTCATTCAAAAGACATACTTGCACCCCCAGCTGCTTCCCCAATTGATCATCCAATAGAGAAGGAGCAAGCACCTGCTCTTGTGACCAGCTTGAAGCTGAGTGCTGGGGGGGTGAGGGAGCTGGGGTGGGGGGGCGCGGGGAGGCACCTGCCTCAGGGACAAACAGTCCCACAGAAGGAACAATTGCACACACAAACCATTCCACAAATCAGGACGGAGAGATGACGCTCTAGCGGTGTGAGTCAAAGGAACAAGTCATTCCAGAAGGAAGGCTGCACAGAGGCGGGGCCACAGTGGGCCCGAGGAATGGGCCAGGGGCCTCCCGGCAGCCACTGCTGGCCCCTTCCCACTGCTGCACCAGGGATTGAAATGGGGGGGTGAGGGCTCCAGGCACCAGGCCTGGCTTTGAGCAGGTCCTGTCTCTTTCATCCTTTCTAGAGTGAGAGAGACAGTGGGAGGTGGTGAGGACCTGCTCCGGACAGTCGTGACAGAGCAGGGAACTCTCACGAGGAAGGCCTGGGCCGGCGGCAAATCAGTGTGATTCTCTTGGCCTCCCAATATTGTTGCCAGGTGAATCTGGCTTAAAAGCAACTTCAAGGTCCAACTTAAAGGAAAAAGATTTCATCAGAGAGCAGCATGCAGGCTGGGCGGGTGAGCCTCCCGCCCCCCCATCCCCCATCCCTGGGGTGGAGTGAGCACCCCAGGACCCTGACTTCTCAGCTCATGCCAAGAGCTTGGGGGCAGCCTGTCCCGCCTGGGCCCCGGGGAAAGTGTGGGAAAGGATGTAGGGTACGCCAGGCCCAGGCCCCTCTCCTTGTGTCTCTGGCCAGTTCCACCCTCTGCTTTACCAGCTAACAGGACACAGCCCTGAGGTATCATCCTTGCGCCAGCACACACCCCTAAGAAGGGAGAACTATCTCTGAGGAGGGCTTTGGTGACGTTGTTTATCTAATTAATGCTTGAGTAAATAATTGACCGGTTGAACATACAAAGCGACTGGGGGCTGCGAGAAGACAGACTAAAAGTCAGGAGATTTGTGTTGCTGTCCCAACCCTGCCACTCTCTGGACTCTGGGCTCCTCATCCAGGGTCTGGATGGCCTCTACCAGCTCCGACGCCCTAAGTTCTTAGCAGACACCCCGGGCGCTGTCCGAGGCGGCATCTCCCTAAGCACCTGCAGAGCAATCACCTGGGAATGCTTTTTACAGACAGCTTTCAAAGCCTCAATTCTAGACCCTTTAAGTCTGGAGTTTCTGAGGATGAGGGCTAGAAACCTGTTTCAAACACTCCCCCACGTTGGATGGTGTCTGCATTCTTCTAGACAGCCTTTACCCCGGCTGCTCCCTCTTTCCCCTCCATCCGCCCCGTCAGGCCCCGTTCCACCCCCTTCTCTCCCCACCAATGGCCAAAGCAGTCTGTGAAGCAATCCCTCTCTCCTTGACCCCTTCCTTTGAGCAGTGAGTGATGGCTTTCTTATCTCCTGCGATTAACCGCAGCCTTCAGCGGGGAGCATTTAAGACGCAGAACACAGGGTCACAGCCACAGCTGCAGGACCCAGAGGCAGACCTTGACAGGCTCGACGGAAGGAGCCACCTTTGAGAGCAGAGGCAACAGCAGCTACATCACCGCTACCAGCCGCCAGGAGACAATGCTCCAGGCAACGTTTAAGCTCTGTGCTGGGAGCTCCTACAGACACGTGCGCAACATGAAGGGTGAGCTCCCTGGGGAGAGGGCGCCTGTGGTGGTGGCCGGGACTCTCAGGCACCCGGCTTAGTGAGGAAAACCCGGGGGCGGGGGGAGGGGGGGTGGGGGGGGTAAGGGCAAGCCACTCAGGTTCCGATCCCAGCTGTGCCTCTTAGTGGGTGAGTCTTACCCCTTCTGGACCTCACTTTTCCCACGGGAAGAACTGGGCTGGAGATCAAGATGTCTTTGTCCCTGGTGGGTTCTGTAATGTCTGGTCCCCCCTCCAGGGCTCCAATCCTCCTGGAAATCTTCCTGACTTAGCATCCCTCCAGGGTTGGTCCCAAGGGTAGCAGGAAGGACTAGCTACGGTGGTAGAGGTAGGACTAAGCCTCGACTCCAATGAGCCATGCTGGCAAGCCTAAAACACGGGCAGGGGGGCAGGGAAGAAGAGGTGGGTGGAGAGAAGGAAAAGAAAGAAGAGTAAGCTAAAACTGGTTTGGCTCAGTGGATAGAGTGTTGGCCTAAAAGGTCCCAGGTTCGATTCTGGTCAAGGACATGTACCTTGGTTGCACGCACATCCCCAGTAGGGGGTGTGCAGGAGGCAGCTGATCGATGTTTCTAACTATCCCTCTCCCTTCCTCTCTGTAAAAAAAAAATCAATAAAATATATTTTAAAAAAAGGGGGGGGGGGGAGCAGTAAGACATCAGAAGAGCAAAAACCCAGTTGCTGGCAGCTACACAGACCCTCAGGGACTGGTGTTTTCAATTCTGCTGTGACAGGATTTTTCTGGTGTGAACAAAGCTTCTCTCTTTCAAGAGGGAAACTTTGGTGTGGCTCCTGCCTCCAGGTGGGACCAGGCAAGCCAGCACAGGTGGAAGGAAGTTTTCTGGGCCCTGGAGGCAGCCTGGTGCAGTGTAGGAAGCCCTGGACCGAGAGTTCACCTGCCTCTAATTCAGGTCCCTGCTAGGAAGGATCTGTAAGTTCCTGATCAAGTCACTTCCCTCTCCCAGCCAGTCTCCTCCTCTGCAGCAAGATGGAAGAGGTGGCAGGGGCATTCACATGCCCAGGCAACGGTTTCCTTCCCTTCCCGCAGGGCTGAGGCACCAGGCTGTGCTGGCCATTGGCCAGGAGCTGAACCGGAGGGCCTTGGGGGGCCCGACCCCGAGCTGGTGGATTAATCAGGTCCGGAGGCGGAGTTCTCTGCTAGGTAAGTGCTGCGGCTTCTGGGCTCCTGCCAGTGGCACGCGGCCCCCAGGTGCAAACACTGTGCATGTGGCCCTTGTTTTCCCCATCCCCCAGATCCTCTCCCTGTCACCTGCGGCAGCGGTGTCCTGACCTGCAGGCTGAATCCTATGGCTTTGGTCTTGGCTCTTCAGAGGAAAGGGCAGGTCCAGAGATCAAAGGGAGGGAAGCTGGTGGGAGGCTAGGGGACCGGTAGGAAGCTTGGTCTTTCCTTGGCTGTGTGTCCAGGTTCCCGGCTGGAAGACACTCTTTATAGCGACCGGGAGCTGGCCTATATCCACCAAGGAGAGGAGGCCATGCAGAAGGCCCTGGGCATCCTCAGCAGCCAGGAGGGCTGGAAGAAGGAGAACCAGCAGGTGAGGGGGTGTGTGGAGGAATGTGCGCAGCTCCTTGCCCTGCCATTGTCATCCTCTAACCCTGCTCTTCAGAGTTCCTGCCTTGGGCAGTAGTCACTGGGCGACAAGTAGTTTTGAGAATTTCCCTTCCCCAAGAACATATCCTCAAATATTCCCCCCACCTCAGACTGGCATTTGAGAAACATTGTTCCTATATCCTACCCTCCAAATACCCTTACACCTATTCAGCAGAGACCCTGGGCTAGCAGTTCCAGGACACTGGCGTCTGAGCTTGCAGAATGACCTGGACTCCCCTGTGACTGGGCTGGACTGGAACACAGATGGCCCACTCCTTCTGGGCTCTCTGCTCCTGAGCTCTGCACCTTCACTGGGAACCAATAATGAGCACATGTTAGAGGCCAGTGGATCTATTGAAATTTTGGTTTTATCTTCACTGGAAGCTTCCATGCTGCCCGTTGCCCAAAGTTTAGGTAAAAGCTTTCCTTCTCCAAGGTAACAGGCTACTAGATTGGGAGTCAAGAAATCTGGGGTTTAGGCCCAAGCAGTGCTCTTGGCTAAGGGTCTCCGGGCAAATCTCTGACCTTCTCTGGCTCTACATCTTTCTTGGATGAGGTATTGGACTAAAAAAAAATCTTTAAAATCCCACCCACCGTTTTTGTGTGTATAATTGGTTGGTTGTAGACCAGATTTTTCCCTCACTCCCACGATCTTTGAGCTTCTGAAGTCAAGTAAGGTCCTGCCATGCCCATCAATATTTGCCACCAGGGAAAAAAGGGCCCAGGGAGCAGTCACCTCTGATCAGCGGTCACCTCTGATCTTCAAGATGTACAAGGCTTGTGGCAGGAAAGATCACCTGCACTGTTTTACTCAAATAGTCCCAGGTCTCCTGATACTTAAGAGTTCTCAGTCTCCTTCCTGCCTTGCCAGAGTTATGTTCTCTGGAGTAGGAATACTAGTATTTCCCTCTAACTCTATCCTGGGGCTCCTCTCGCTCCCTGACAGGCCAATGGAGACAAAGTGCTGAGTAAAGTGGTCCCGGACGTGGGCAAGGTTTTCCGGCTGGAGGTGGTGGTGGACCAGCCCATGGAGAGGCTTTACGAAGAGCTCGTGGACCGCATGGAGGCGATGGGAGAGTGGAACCCCAATGTCAAGGAGATCAAGGTGAGGAGGGCCCCGTTGTGAGTGACAGGAGAGCCCAGCTGGAAAGGTGGCCAAAGCTGTGAGTGGTGCTGCCTTACCCCCGGCACTGGCTAAGCAGTGACTCTAGCTCCCTGTGGCCTGGCAGGTCCTACAGAAGATTGGAAAAGACACGGTGATCACCCACGAGCTGGCTGCAGAATCAGCAGGAAACCTCGTGGGGCCCCGGGACTTCGTGAGTGTGCGCTGTGCCAAGCGCCGAGGCTCCACCTGCGTGCTGGCTGGCATGGCCACGCAGTTCGGGCAGATGCCTGAGCAGAAGGGTGTCATCAGGTGATACTGGCAGCAGGCTTAAACGCTCCCTTTCCTAACACAGACAGGCCTGGGGGCCGAACATGGCTCCAGAAACCCAATCCTTGGTCCCTACTCTCAGCTTCCTTTTACAAAGGAGGATTCTCATTTTCCATTGCAGGGAAGATAAGATTAGCCCTACTTATACAGCCAGTTTATCCTGATTTCCCCCAAAAGTTTAAGGACCTTAGTAGTTTTCTAAAGAGGTTTAGCTGGTATGGTCATGTGCGGCTGTACTAGTGATTAAAATATAATCCGCACCACTTAGAACCCAGCTGCTCCCCAAGTTCCGCAGCCACCACCCCTAAACCCTTTCCCCAACCTCCCTCTTACCCAGCAACTAAAAGGGATGACAGGAAGTCTCCAGGTTCCAGCTCAGTTCTAATCAGCATTTGTTCTGATAAGCTGGGAACCATGCCTACTGTTAAATACCATCCTTGGCAAAGGCCACTTCTCTGATGAGATTTGGAAAGACAAGGCTAGTAGAACTCATCAGCATGAGCGAACTGAACCAGGCTCCTAATTCAACTTCTCTTTAATTGCCAGAGCCGAGCATGGCCCCACTTGCATGGTGCTCCACCCTCTGGCTGGGAGTCCATCAAAGACCAAACTCACTTGGCTGCTCAGCATTGACCTCAAGGTGAGGGGCATGGGAGGAGGCACAGAGGGAAGGTGGTAAGAGAAAAATAAGTTCTTATCACTCTTACATGGGATAGGAAAAATCCTTCCATTTAGAGAGAATTACTGTTTAAGGGAGAAGAGATTTGAGTAATGGCTTGCTATTTCACCATCTCTCAAAAGCCTGCAATGGCCCCCTCTTACCTCTCATATCAAATCTCAACTCTATAATTTTTATTATTATTATTATTATTTTTTTTTTTTAAAGAAAACAGGCTCAGAAAGGGTGTTCACTAGCTCGGGGCCACACAGCTGGGAAGACATGTCTTAATTTGTCTTGAGAACATATCCTGTGCTTCTGACACTCTCATGACAGCAGGGCAGCAATGCGGTCCCTCCAGCCCTTGACCCGGCAATTACAAGGTTGCACCTATAAAGAGAGCTGGAAGACTAAGACCAGTCTCTCTGATAGGATCCAGAAGTGTCAGAGTGGACCCCCACCCACAAGATGGCCCAATTCTTTCATCTTTTACTCTAGGGATGGCTGCCAAAGACTATCATCAACCAAGTCCTATCTCAGACCCAGGTGGACTTTGCCAACCACCTGCGCAAGCACCTGGAGTCCAGCCCTGCTCCTGAGGCCAGGTGCTGAAGGCCAGCTTGTGGCTTGCCACTGTTCCGCTGCATTGGCTTGTGTGCTCATCAGGAAAATCCCTCCCAGAAGCCTGCGAATCTGCTTGAGATCATCTGGGGACTGTGGGTTGGGGTGACAGTGTATTTACATTATGATACTAGGACTCCGACTGGTCAAATTTTAGTACCAAGAAAATAGGGATGGGTCTCATATAGAAGACAAGCCTTCTAATTTCATTCACTGAATAGCTGTGAAATGAGGGTTAAGGGTCTCAAAATACCTGTAACATTTTTCTCTGGCCCTAACATGTCTACCTAAAAACACCTTAAATTGCTACTAGCTGAGAGAGGGTTCAGAGGGTGCTAAATACAAGGACTGGGACCTCATGCTTTATGGGCTCAAGAGCTCCACTCTCTGCAGGCAGCGTGTGGAATATTAGGGTCTTACAAGACGGGCTCCAACAACTCTCTGCCCCTCCACCAAGCAGGCAGAGGGCTGCACCAAAGTGTGGGCAACTCCCCACAGCAGGTGCCTTCCAGAGACCTAGTTCAAGTTTTCTTGACCAAAAAAGCACCAAACTAATTATTAGGCTGGTTTCTCTACTTCTGTGCGCACCAGTTAGAATAAAGAATCATAACTAATACAAAAAGTTCAGTCTGTACCTGTTTTAAAATTCTGCTTAAGAAATCTATTGAGTAAATGTTAACTTCATACTAAAGGAGTCCTAGATAAAAATCTTAAATTTAAATCCCTTAATCACTAAGAGGAAAAGCTACCGGGGACTTATATCATTCAATTATTTAGTGTCTGTTATTAAAGTCTTTCATAAAATTTTATTTCTAGGAAAAGCACAATCCTAAATCTTAAGAGCACTAAAATTGGTACCTGATTAATGGGTATTGAAAGATGAAAATCATGACTGAGGATTATTTTTTTACTTAATTAAAAGGAAGGATAGTCTTAACTTTGGGTGGTGAACACACAATACAATATACAGATGACATATTATAGAACTGTACACCTGAAACCTGTATAAGTATTACTGAGATAACATTAAAAACAAATTTTATTATTTTCTCATTAGTGACTGTCCTAACCAAGCAACTGAATCTTTACTTCAATCTATTGTATCAGCTCTCAGCGTGGCTCAGGGATGCCAATTTCTCTGCTTTAGTAGGTCAATATTTTACTATTTCAAGAGATGGCTGGAAAAAGGGGTAATATGGTAACGAATTCCCCTTCAAAGATTCAGAGGACTTATGCTTTAAAAATATAAACTGGGATGGGGTTATTTTGTTAAAATGTATACAACTTGAAGCTTTCCCATTCTAGTGCTAATAGCACAAGCCTAGGATAAACCATTGATGATTTATACCATTTGGAAGTAGAATTCTATCTTATTTATTAAACAATTAGCAACAGCAGAAATTCTGATATTTATTGAGGTATTGAAAATTTATAATTAGAAATATTTATTATTATTTATTCTGATTGTTTCACTGTTTCTTGATCTATTTTTTGGCTCAGGTAAAATGACTGTTTATCTGTCCAGGAGCTTCACAGTGAGAGGGGATAGTTGTAGAAGTATTTTCTAGAACAGAATTATCATCTACTCCCTAGTAAGAGAAAACAGTTGTTTGAAGATGTATAGAGTAATATATACCCTGGTTTCAAAAGAGAACACAGCAATAGTAAAGAAATGGGCTTTCAACACACAACATGGTTTTGAGCTTGATTATAATTTGCCTTCTTTAAACTGCAACTGTGTTTTAACTTTGAATAAAGTAAGTTGTAATAATCTACTTACAGAAACCATTTAATACAAGACTATAAAGAGTATTCTTTGAGCCCTTCAAATGAACCTTATCAGAACACGTTTTGAACACGAAGTATAAACAGACAAAATCGTTATTCCTGCTATCTTTGATTTATGAAAGCCGAATGTACAAAAACTAATTTTATCATTTAAAAAGAGTAGGTTGTAAGTATATTTCATAATTTGTATTTTACATAATTACATATGTGGTAATTTATACTGTAAAGAATTTACTTCCAGCTTCCTCTAAATAACACAACCCTCATCTTTTTTAATATATTTTATTGATTTTTTACAGAGAGGACGGGAGAGGGAGAGTTAGAAACATTGATGAGAGAGAAACATTGACCAGCTGCCTCTTGCACACCCCCTACCGGGGATGTGCCCGCAACCAAGGTACATGCCCTTGACCGGAGTCAAACCTGGGACCTTTCAGTCCACAGACCGATGCTCTACCACTGAGCCAAACCAGTTTCAACACAACCCTCATCTTAAAAGTTCTTCAGACTGATGATCCAGAAACTTTGTAGCCATGTTTGCCCTTTAAGACCAGACACAAGTGAACAGGTGTTTAAGGGTAACAGACTGAGACTCCAGTCTAAGATCATACTGATTCAGTGTTAGGTTTCCTGTTGAGATGTGGAATGGACCAAATTAATATATTTGTCTTCTAGTTAGGGAAAAAAAATATCAGTCGAAACTACTGTGTTAGGATACCAACAGTCACTGGAAATTTGGGGGATTTCTTAATACAATATATGGTGATTCTTGGCAACTTATTACTACCTGGTGGTGAACCACTCTACCTATTAACATAGGTAGGAATTTACCAGTACATGCAGGAGAGTTTAGGGCCATGCTGGGAGGGCTGCACTGCCACTGATGTATAAAAAAGGGACCCTAAGGAAAGTCATTCTTACATTCTAGTTTTTCATTTCTGAAAACTGCCCTTTAATCAGCTACACAAAGGAAGAGAAGCAAGGCAGGGAAACAAGCTGCACTTATTAATACTCACGCTCAAGGAGAAGAACTGGAGGGAGACCACCAACCCTTTACCCTTCTTCGCCCCTTGAGAGTCTTATTTTCCACGGGTTAAAAGGGGTGGGGGGTTGAGTTGGCCGGAAAGAAAGGAAGCAATAGGATAGGGGTTGAGATATAAACCAAAAGCCTAGCTCTTTCCTCCACTGCTGGCCACCCTTCCTCAGACTGCCCACATTTCCAACTCTGTCACCAAGAGGGAAGCAAAATGCCACACATGCGTGATCAGAATTTTTATTTGGAAAAAGTTTCTAATTATTAAAGCCGCAAGCGAGTTCCTTTCACAATTACAGTTCTAGAGGCACGGTAATTTCAGAGATCCCAGTGTTCAAAGTGTATTTCAAAATTAATAACAAAAACAAACCCACACCCAAATGAGAGCTCTTAGATCGGTTTGGGATGCACAGCCACCGATTCCAGCTGTCCTCTGAAACAGGCCCACCGTCCTTGCAAATCAGGTGGGAAGGAGTCAATGCCCACAGAGGGGAAAGAGTCTCTCAATAAGTTAGCTACTTGGACAACATTATCCACTCCCTAGAGAATACAATAAGATAACAAGCCCCAGTAGTGGGGAACGTGGTACAGCACCAGTTTCACAGGGAGCTTATGGGACTTGAGGGTCAGCAGTTGGCATATCGCACACAAAATGAAAGCAGTCACTAGAAGCAGGGAGAGCGCTGAAGGGCAGGGAGTCTCTCCCAGGCCCACTCAGCCTTTTACCTTGCTAACAGGAGAGGCTATGTTTTGCAGTATCTTCGGGATAACGTTTGTCACAGTTAACAACAAAAAGAAAATCCCCCAAAATCATCCCCCAGAGAGTCCATGTCTGCAAAGAAAGAGGGAGCTGGTCAGGGTTCCCACGGAGGACTCCGCCTGCCATCCACCTCTGTTTCCACATGATATAAGACATCAGCCAGAGTGTGCTCTACCACCGCGCCCCAGCCCATGTCACTCATCTGTGGGAGGAATGGGAAACAGAAAGGAGGCGATTAGAATAACTACGGCAAGAAGTTACAAAGGTGCTGAGGATGCATGTGGACAGTTTTAATGTTACTCACAGGGCGGTAAGTGAGGTCCTTTGGAGGATATTTGAAGCACGGTCCAAAGTTAATGGAAACCTGGGATAAATTCAATTCAAGCAGACATGGCAAAACAAAGTAAGTATATAGTGAAAAACTTAATGGGACATTTTTCTCTTTGAAGGTAGCTGTGACATTCAGGGTATAACTGGAACAATTATATATATATATATATATATATATATTGCTAAAATTGGTCAACACCTTAATGTCCATCAAAAATTAGGTAAATAAAATAGACATGTTCATTTCTGTTTATAATATAAAGATTTTATTATTTTAGTTCCATTGGAGCCTAATCGACAGGCTAAAAGTACATGGCAAACTTCCAGGCATTACCTTTCCAAATCACTTAAACAAAACAAAAAAACTAACAGGCTCTAATGATAGTCCCCTCCCTCTGTGGGGTGATCATGGGGTGATGGCGGGCCCCCCTGACCAATTACATCACATCCACCTTAGCGGTGGCAGTCAGTACTGGGTCGCTGCAGTGCCTGTGACCCAAGAGGGACTGAGAGGACCCGAGCCAGCTGAATGTGCAGCCTGGTGTTTGGTCATCTGCTTGGTTGTTTTGGAAGTTATGAACCCTGCTCTTTATATATTAGAATTACAGCTTTTATTGGCTCAATGGCCAACCAGATGACTGGACACTTAACATATTATGTTTTTATTATATAGGATTTTTAAATCAATATAGCAACAGTTACAAACTAACGATGTTAGGCTATCATGACATATATAACGCCAAACTGATTTATGCACATAAATAGCAAATAGTTTATAGCCATGACACTAAACAATAACATTACCACACAGTACATTCAAAGGACAAATATGGGGCACACTAATTGCATGATCTAAGCAAATGCTTCGTAAAACACCCAACTATTTTTGGAACAAACAGTGACAGTCAAAAAACATTCCCATCTTCCTTAGGCAATTCAAATTTCTTTCTAGAACTCAGTCAGTGGCTCTTTGACCACTGTCATTTACCTATTTCTCTCAAGTTCTGTCCACATGATGAACAGATGGTACATACCGTGCAGCTCTTGTACAATGAGATGGCCGGAAAGTAAACCCCCTCAAAAATATCTTTGTAAGCCACACCTTGATTGACACCATTTTTATAAAATATTATCTGGAGGGGGAAAAAGCACACTTTTACTTTTGAATTTAAAAACAAAACACACACACTAAAAAAAGAATTCACTTGGAGCACCCTTTAGAAGTGCTGTGTTACCATACTGGGATAACGTATTCCAAGAATAGTATATAGCTTGTGTAATAACATCATATTATCAGTTTCTCACCTATTTACAAGCACTATTCTAGTTGGTGTTCACATTTGCTTTCTGCATTCCTATATCACTCTGCCAGTCATACTATTATTTATTACTAAAGGCCCCGTGCACGAAATTTGTGCACAGACAGGGCTGGGGGAGAGGGGTGTGTGTGTGTGTGTGTGTGTCCCTCAGCCCAGCCTGCACCCTCTCCAATCTGAGACATCCTTCTCACAATTCAGAACTGCTGGCTCCCAACCACTTGCCTGCCTGCCTGCCTGCCCACCCTCTAACCACTGATTGATCCCTAACTGCTCCCCTGCCAGTCTGTTTGCCCCTAACTGCCTTCCCCTGCTGGCCTGGTCATCCCCAACTGCCCTCCCCTGCTGGCCCAGTCACCCCCAAATGCCCTCCCTTACCAGCCAGGTCCTTCCCAACTGCCCTCTCCTGCTGGCCTGATTACCCACAACTGCCCTCCCCTGCTGGCTATCTTGTCTGTTGGAATGACAGTCAATTTGCATATTACTCTTTTGTTAGATAGGATACTGTATACTTTATGTTTTTTTATTGGACCACCTGATCACCCCTACTGGTCTCTGCCTGTCTGCCTGTCTGATCACCCCTAACTGCCCCCTCCCCCTGCTGGCCTGGTTGTCCCTCACTGCCCTCCCTTCTGGCCTGGTCACCCCCAACGCCCCCACCGCCTGGTTGCCCCTCACTGATCCCTCCCCACCTCTGCCTGCCTGGTCGTCCCTTACTGCCCCACCTGCCAGCCTGGTTGGCCCACACAGCCTGCTGTTTGGTCACTGTGTGAGGGCATCTCGGCCAATTTGCATATTCCTCTATTATAAACATATATGTGTATACCAGAGGCCCGGTACACGAATTCATACATGAGTGGGGTCTGACTGGCCTGCCCCAATTGGGGCCTATCAGGCAGGGCCACTTGCGGGAGGTTGGCTGGCCAGCCCCACCCCCTGGTTGAACTTCTAGCTGAGGGGACATATATATATATATATATATATATATATATATGTAATTCTCCCCCCACCCCCTGAAAGGTTCTTTTTGCCCTTGCCAGTGCAGTGTGGCTCAGTTGGGTGGGCATCGTCATATGCAGTGAGAGGTTGCCAGTTTGATTCCCAGTCAGGGCACACGTCTGGGTTTCAGGCTCAATCCCTGATAGGGGATGTGCAAGAGGCAGCCAATCAATGCTGCACTCTCACATCAAGGTCTCCCTGTCTCTCTCTAAAAATCAATATATTATTTTTAAAAATTCAACTTCTAAAAATAAATAAATAAAAAGGTTCCTTTTTCTGAAGTAACTTTCTATCTCTTCTTCCCAGAAAGAGCAATCTTCTCTCTGGCTGTACAATAATTCCTTACCCAAGATCATTGATAGGTTCTTGGAACTGTGGCAGCATACATTTTGAAACCAATTTGCCACTGGCTAATTTATATAACTGAGTGAAGTTTCTACTGCAGTTCATCAGTGTAATGAAATGATATTATTCGAGGACTTGCTGTATTTTCTGGCTGTATCATCTTTAGATCTATTAACTGCTTCCCTTTATTCCTTTTTCTTTCTTTTCTTACATGTCAGTAGTGGAACGATCCACCCTTTTTACTTGCAAAGGGTGAACAGAAAGCTACTATATTTCTCTAGGACACTTACAAACAGTTTTCCTCACCATAAGAAGAAACTGAATAAAAGTAAATGTCCATTCTTTATTCCTTTTTCAACTAGAACCCTAGTTTTGTTTTAATTTCTCCTATATTAGTTTCTATTATTGATTCAGGTGCATCCACAGCATTTTTATAGAAAAATGTTTCCAGCTCAGAACTTCCTTCCTCCCCTTCCCCTTTTATTTTTGACCCTTGTGGCTGGTCCAGATTTGTCAGCCCTTCTTTAACTGTGCTATGACCTTGCGTAGACATGTCCCCAACAATGCTGGGACAGGGGTAGGGAAAGTTCTAGAGGACACTGAATGAGCCATTCCAGCTCTGGCTGCCTCCACTCACACAGCTCTGTGCTCTCCTTTCCTCTCCTCTTCCAGTGTTCCTGCCTCTATACTTGGCTGTATTTCTTCTGATAAAGAATAACCATCTCTGACTTGCTTCCTCAACCATTTGTAGATACCCTGGTTAGACCACTGTTTTTACCTCTTTTTTAGTGTTCCTGAAAGAACCATTGTTATCCCTCTAATAGCAACAGCATGGTATCACAGAAAGAGGCACAAACACAGTAGGCAGAGTGTGAGCTTACTCTGTTAGCAGAAAAATCTCTTCATTCCCCTTTTGGCCTCTTTTTCCTCAATTATAATTAGGGGGTTGGTCCCAATCTTCAAGGTCTCTTAGTTCTGACATTTTTGTGACCATGACTCACCTCACTATGGGGAGTCTGCTTTAAGCTCTTCTCTGCTTTATCCACAAAGTCTTTTTCCTCAAAATACAAATAACTCTTGAACTTTATCAAGGCCTTGAAAAGAGGAAAAAGGAAAAAAAGGCTCATTGAAGCATCAGCAACATCACACAAATAGCACTGAGTCATGCGCTCTGCAACAGAAATTAAAAATCTTTGCAGAGTTAGCTTTGCTAGATTTTGAACTATGTGCTCCTTAAAAGTACCAGGTCTCAACATTTTCAAAAAGACCTTTATTAATAAATTTTGAGGAAACACATACATTTAAATACATATATACTCTCACCACAACAATGAAGCAACTAAAATTCTCACATATGGTTGGTAAAAATGGAGAGTTGGGCAATTTTTCATAAAAATATATATAAAACTACCCTACAATCCAGTAATTCCAAAATAAATGGAAACATGGCTACAAAGAGATTTGTTCAAGAATGTGTACAGCCCCAAACTTAAGAGAGCTCAAGTGTCCATCAACAGAAAAACGAATGTGTTATATGTTAATTATTTTTCAACAGAGTTGGAAAATATAGAAAACGGATAAACACATTGTGGCATATTCATACAATGGAGATCTATTCTGTAGTAAAGAGCAAGCCCACAACATAACATGAATGAGTCTCAAAGGCAGTATGTCAAATGACAAAATCCAGATGCAAAACAACATACTGCATGATTCCATTTCTATAAGATCAAGAACAAGCAAAGCCTATAGAATAGAAATATTTATGATGGGGGGAAAATTCCTTAAAATTACCCTGAGAGGTAGTTGCCTTTATGGGGTGTAGGTGGGACTGGGGAACAACTGGGAAAGGGTATGAGGGACCTTTCCGCCGTGATGATAATCTATGTTTCAACAGGGGTTTGGGTCAAACTTAAAACTCAGTGAGTGAAAATTTGTACATTTCATTTTATATAAATTCTATATCAAAAGAAAAAAACTAAACAAAGGTTGAACTCTAGCTAATGATGTACATCTTGAAATACTTGGTGGGGAGTGAATATCTGCAATATTCTTTTGAAGTGTATTAAAGAGGGATAAATGGATGGATGGATGGACGAACAGACGGGTGGGTGGAGACTAAATGCATAACATGTTAATAGAATTTAGGTGATGGGTATTCAAACACTGACTTTTAAATTCTTTCACCTTTGTTACGACTGAAAATTTTTATAATGAAATGTTGGGGAAAATATGAATGGTGGGTCAACATCACAGGAGGTCACAGGCTACAGCTGCAGGTACTGGTTGGCAAACCCAGGAATATTTCAGGAGGACAAACTTACCTTATCTTTATAAGTATCAGGTAGTGACTTGGCTGTCTCTGTGTCTTCAGGAAGATTGATATAGAATCCTAGGACATCTCCCTGTCCATAGCCAGAAGAGTAGTGTTTGCCAATGGACTGGTGGAACTTGGTCCCCTTTTTGCTCCGCCATGAATAGCTAAATTTATCATAACCTAAAGGAGCTTGAAGGTTACCTATCCCCAAAAATAGATATACAGGAAGTCAGAAGACTGCAACCCAACTTATGTTTTGCCAAAGGAAAAAAAAAAAAGTTACTTTTTTTGATAGGGAGGAGGAAGAGTCATCAAAGGCCCCATCCCCAGTTCCCGCCCCTGCTGCAGCTTTGTCTGGAAGGACGTCCGATCTAATTAGCATATTACCTTTTTATTATTATAGATTATTATTATAGATTATTTCTCACAAGCAAAGAATTATAAAAATATTCCAAGAATTGCAACTGCTTAAATCCTTTGGAACTCAATTATATGTCCATAAATTAATAGGCTCCAAAGTAGTAAAACTTATTAGCCAAATAGTCTTCTAACCCTCTACCTGCTTCACAGTCTATACTATAACCACAGCTTACCTAACGGCTGAGACCAGCCCAGTCTAGCAGCAGTGTCTGGCGGCATCTCATCCACCGTAATTTCAAAGTACCAGGCCCCTTTCCGGACCCCATGAGAAGCCCGCACCATGGAGTAGCCCTTCTCTCCAACCACAGTCAGCCGGTCATCAGAGATCTTCAACTGGGGAGCTGCAGAGATGGAGATAAAAACAAAGGCCTGCAACTGATCTGAGACACTGGGAGACAACTGTCACAAAACATGAGTCTCTTGCATCCCAATGAAAGATCAGAAAATCAGGTCAGGAATCAGAAATATTAGTTCAGGAGTTTAAAAATCTCAAGACAAAGATGAACGAGAGGAAGAAAGTTGTTAGGTAATCCAGTTTTATTATATGTTGAAGAGGACAAATAAATTATACTACCTTTCCCTGAAATATAACAAACGAATTGTAATGTGTTTAAATCCTGACTTAAATAAA